TTTTTTTCATAAACAGAAGAATCAATTACATGAAGATGGATTTGATGAGCCACACACACTGGCCACTTTTACAATGCCCAAACTTATAAAAAGTTGTAGCAATTGTAAGTAAAAAGTACAAATTAAAATGAGGTTAGTGTTCATTTTTTCCAGAAAACATCTGAAGAAACTGCTGAAGTTCCTCTTTATTTCTTTGGCTTTTTTTATTAAAACATTTAATAGTTAGCATTTCACTACTTTAAAATTGCAGCTGATGACAGATTCCTTAATGTTTTTCCAAATGCTTCCTGCTACATGATATAAACAGTACACAACTTTGAGAACCTGTGATTATGCTGAGCTTGGTTAAGAAACAGTATCTACACAGGGCATAGATCAAGTATTGGCAGAGTTGTAAAAAATTCCAGAGATCTCTGCCTTTAAGGAGACTTAACTCTGGAAAACAGCTGTAATAATCGTCTCTTCATAGGGAAACACAACCTGATTAAATAAAGAGGAAAATTCACTGTACTTGAATAAAGAATTAACTTTTATGGTTATTCTTCCATTCAAAGCAACCAGCCTGTAACAGGGATCCATTTCAGGCATTTAGTATGAACTTTCCTGCTCAAACACAGGAGGCTTATTTTAAAACTGATGTGCTTTATTCTCTTTTCTTCCTATTTTCTTTCTTCCCCTCCCTGTGTGTGTAGAAGTAAGATTCACATTTTTTTGTGTCCTAGTCTGGGCTATCATATCCAGGTCATTAACATGTTCAGATCATTAACAAGAATAAGGAAATTGGTATTAGTAAGATGTGCAAAGATAGAAACTGGTACCAACAGATCTGACCAATGGCTTCTTCAGGGCACCATGTGGACATTATATATACCTTTTAAAAAGTATACTTGGAGTCTGGTTCCGGAATTTCCCTTTAATAACACTTTGTTCCCCTTGTAGAGAGGAAAATAACTCTGGAAATGTTAGTCTGCTCTTTCTTTTTTGTATACTAGAGGAAATCAATAAAATTTATTTTTGTGTGTTTTGCAAAACCCTGTTCTCATGATTTGCACTGGCATCTGGGACAAGGACTGAGCTTTTGGAATCAAGCCTTTTCTACATATCAAAATAGATTCAACATCAAATTCCTCAAAGGTTATCAATATTAAAATGGGGATGAGACCGTCCACTTCTCTGGCCATTGGTAGGTAACATGAGCCACAGCTGTCAATAATGGAGCTCAATGCCTAGCAAGGAGTGGTTCTCCTTATATGAATTGTGATGAGAGCCCTGTGGACTCTGATGTTGAGAATCTAGGTTCAGACTATGAGGCAACTGTTTAAAATGACATCCTGGTATGCAAGTTTTGGGGATACATTTTGACTGAAACTGGAAAGGATCATAACACTGACAAGTGCTTTTCAAATGAGAGGATAAATGCCATTCCATCCATGTGTCCTATACTCCCAAATAAAAAGCATTAGGAAAATTGGCTCACAAACCTCCAAAGAAAAATGATATATAGGACTATATCAAAATTTAAAAAAACTGTGCAAAAATGGTACTATCAACAGAAAGAAATAAATCCACAGAAGAGGATAAAATATGCATAAATCATGTATCTGAAGAGGGATTAATAACTCATAAATATAAAGAACTGTACATTAGCAGCAACAATAACAAAAAATCCTGCTAAGAGCAAAAATAAATCTTATTTTAAAACTCGCAAAGGACTTAAAACAGACATATCTTCAAAGATCTAATGGAACTCTGTTATTTCAAAAAAGAAAAAATAATCAATTTTGATGACAATGTGGAGAGATTGGAACTCTATGTTCTGCTGCTAAGAAGGTAAAATGAAGTAGAAGAGAGTATGGCATTAGTTTAAAAATCAACAGAATTTCCAAATGATACAGAAGTTCTACTTCTGGTATCTTCTACAAAGCCCTATTGAAAACAGAATTCAAATAGCTATGTGTATACCCATAGCAGCATCACACAAATAACCAAGATGTGTAAGCAATCCCTATTTTTAGCAATGGATGAATGGACAAATAAAATGTAGTATATACATATGATAGAATATTTTTCAACCTTAAAATATAAAAAAATTAGGATACCTTAATTTAGAAGAACCTTGAGGACATTATGCTAAGGTAAATAAGGCAGTCATAAAAAGATGAGTATAGTATGCCTGCACATTCATGAGCTTCCTAGAATAACCAAATGCAGAAACAGAAAATTGCAGATGGTTTCAGAGGTGGCAGAGGTGGCTGTGGGTGGTTTCTCTTAGGTGGATTGAAGATTTCCCCTGGGAAGATGAAGAAACGCTCTGGAGTTGGATGGTGGTGATAGTTGACAATGTGAATATATTTGATGTCCCGGAACTGTGCACTTAGAAATGGTTAAGATGTGTATGACAATTCACAATAGCAAGACTGTGGAACCAACCTAGATGCCCTTCAATAGA